ATTATTAAGACTCCTTACCACTCCCTTCTCAGTCCATAACAGATCCAAAGTTACTCATTAGACAAGTTCCATAAAATTGTTTTTATAAATAACTAGAAAATTTTTAGACAGAGACTCTATCTGGGGAATAGTATCTCCCAGGGGAAATCCCAGATAGAGAGGATTACTTTTTAGGTACATCTTACTTACTACCCTAATGGGAAATAACAGCGCATCAACATGTACTCCACAGCCTAGCCATAACCTTAAAAATTATCACAAATAAAACTACAATAACAAAATCTTTAGACTCTTTAACTTGAATGGTTCTTGATAATCACATTATGCTTGACTATTTTTTTTATTTTTTTTACTCTTGACTTTTTTTTTTTTTTCTTTTTTTTGAGACAGAGTCTCGCTTTGTTGCCCAGGCTAGAGTGAGTGCCGTGGCGTCAGCCTAGCTCACAGCAACCTCACTCCTGGGCTCAAGCGATCCTGCTGCCTCAGCTCCCTGAGTAGCTGCGACTACAGGCATGCGCCACCATGCCCAGCTAATTTTTCCTATATATATTAGTTGGCCAATTAATTTCTATTTATAGTAGAGATGGGGTCTCACTCTTGCTCAGGCTGGTTTCGAACTCCTGGCTCAAATGATCCACCCGCCTCCCAGAGCGCTAGGATGACAGGCGTGAGCCACCGCGCCCGGCCACTCTTGACTGTTTTTTAAGAAAACAAATACGTTTGTGTTATAACTAGTTCTTCATGCTACACTTATATAAATACCTCCACAAAAGTAAAAGTACCTGTTGATAAAATTAGACAACAAACTTCAAAGCTACAACAGGTTAACAGAGATGATCCAAAGATAAAAATTAGGGCCAGGCAGCCCCGCTGAGGCGGCAGCAGCACGCGAGCTCGGCAGTTCGAGGCTGCGGTGAGCAGAGTGCCCGGGGACTGTCTCAAGACGACCACAAAGGGGCTGAGCGGCGCCGGGGAGCAGGTGGCCGGAGCACGGTTCTGGCGGCAGGGACTGGAAGAGGCGGCGGCACCGTGTCCGGCCGCGAAGGTGGCAAGAAACAGCCCAAGAAGCAGCCCACGGAGGTGGACGAGGAAGGTAAGGCGCTCAAGCAGAAACAAAAAGAGGAGCAGAAGAAACTCAAGGAGCTAAAAGCGAAGGCCACGAAGAGGCCTGCCCCCCTCCGCCCACAGGTAGAATTAAGAAATCTGGCAAAAAGTAAGCTGGTCCTTGTGCCTGAGGCGATAGTGACCCTTGATTCCTATTTGAACATCTGTATCTCCTGCCATAACATCTTTTGCCACCTATAGCTAACATGAAGCGTTGTCTTGAAGCCTATTGTACATTTAAGAATAAATTTTTGGAAAAGAAAAGTGAACAGATAATATGTTCAAGATTACTTTATCGTTTATATATTAATATAAAATTAAATTTTAGCATGTCTTAAATATGACTCAATACACTGAAAATGGCCAACTTGCAAAAGACTTAATTTTTTCCCATATTCTTATAATTTTTAATGTCATATTGGCTCAATATATTTAAAAAAAATTTTTTTTTTTGAGACAGAGTCTCCCTCTGTTGCCGGGGCTAGAGTGAGTGCCGTGGCGTCAGCCTAGCTCACAGCAACCTCAATCTCCTGGGCTCAAGCGATCCTCCTGCCTCAGCCTCCCAAGTAGGCTGGGACTACAGGCATGCGCAACCATGCCTGACTAATTTTTTCTATATATATTAGTTGGCCAATTAATTTCTTTCTATTTTTTGTAGATGCCAAGGTCTCGCTCTTGCTCAGACTAACTCCTGACCTTGAGCGATCCGCCCACCTCGTCCTTCCAGAGTGCTAGGATTACAGACATAAGCCACTGCGCCCAGCCTTTAAAATTTATTTTTAAAGCTTGTCTTAGAGTTCTTTTCAAAATCTATAATTATTTTAATAAGTAGAGTTTGGTCAGTTTTAATTATGCGTCATAATTTGATAAGTTATATTCAGCCACCACCATTTGTTTCTCAGGAGTTAGTATTAATATTTAGGGATTCTTGCTGCTACTCTGTGTACCTAAATTGGGATTAAAAGTAAGCAAGTTTATTCTCTGAAACAAATCACTGAAGTAGACTCATATTTTAAAAATGACCTTTTTTGGGGCTGGGCACAGTAGCTCACGCCTGTAATCCTAGCACTCTGAGAGGCTGAGGTGGGAGGATCGAGCAAGATCAGGAGTCCGAGACCAGACTGAGCAAGAGCAAGACCCCATTCTACTAAAAATAGAAAAATTAGCCAGGTACAGTCCCAGCTACTGAGGAGGCTGAGGCAGGAGGATTGCTTGAGCCCAGGAGTCTGAGGTTGCTGTGAGCTAGGCTGACGCCACGGCACTCACTCTAGCCTGGGCAACAAAGCAAGACTCTGTCTCAAAAAAAAAAGACCTTTTTTGGGACTTGAGTATGAGTGAAAAACAAAAGAAAAAATTGGCTATTTTTAGGCTTAGCTTCTTATTCTTTCTAATTTATTAATATTTACACTTAAGGCCTTTGGTATTTTTATGTTTCTCTTGCAAAATCTTTTCAAAAGCAGTATTGAGACTAACCTTTCCAACTTGATGTTTGTAAAAGTAAGAAGGAAATTGCTGAAGATGGGCTCTCTGGAAAAAATATATAGGGGGTTGGTTAATCCATTGTGAATAATCTAGTTCATGACTGCAACACTAATCCATCTAAACAAGTTAAAAATTCATTGGTAGATACCATTTCACACCCACTAGAATGATTACAAGCTACTCTTAGGTATATACTCAAAGGAACTGAAAACAGATGTTGAGGCCAGGTGCGGTGGCTCACGCCTGTAATCCTAGCACTCTGGGAGGCCAAGGCGGGCGGATCACTCAAGGTCAGGAGTTCAAAACCAGCCTGAGCGAGACCCTGTCTCCACTAAAAATAGAAAGAAATTAATTGACCAACTAAAAATATATATATATAAAAAATTAGCCGGGCATGGTGGCACATGCCTGTAGTCCCAGCTACTCGGGAGGCTGAGGAGCAGAATTGCTTGAGCCCAGGAGATTGAGGTTGCTTTGAGCTAGGCTGACGCCACGGCACTCACTCTAGCCTGGGCAACAGAGTGAGACTCTGTCTCAAAAGAAAACAAAAACAAAAAACAGATGTTGAAACAAAAACAAAAACCTCTGCATAAACATTCACAGCAGCACTAGTCACAATGGCCAAAAAATGGTAGCAACCCTATAATAGAACCCTCGTCAGAGTATGTAGGTTAAATTAAAAAAAGGCAATAACCCAAATGTCCATCTAGATAAAATGGGGCATATACATGCAGTGCAGTATTATTTAGCCATAAAAAGGAATTAAGTACTAATACATACATGGATGAACCTTGAAATCATCACAGAGGCCATATACTGTATGATTCCATTTATAGGAAATATCTAAATTAGTTAAATCTACAGAGGCAGAGAGCAGATTAGCAGTTGCTAGGAACTAGGGGAAGAAGAAAACGGGGAGTGACCACTTAATGGGTATAGGGTATAGTAATGAGTATGTTTGAGTGATGAAACTGTTTTGAAACCAGATCACATTGTGAATGTACTAGATGTAACTGAATTATACACTTTAAAATGGTTAATCTTATGCGAATTTTTTCTCAATTTAAAAGTCATCCAAGTTAATACAGCTCTAATATCTTCAATATTAAAGTGGGACCACAGAACTTGGACATTATCCCTATCACATAAAGTTCTTAAAATTGTTTCCTGCTCCAGAATGAAATCTAGATAGTTTCCTTAAGTACTAAATTGACCAAATTATTAGCATTTTCAAAACATGTAAAATATTTTTGAATTGTGTTGAGAAAATTGTTGGTCATATTTTAGAGGATATTGTCCCTAATGAGTTGTCACATGAGTCCTGTGATAAATAATGCAGAATTTTATCTTTCATTACATGTGAATTGTGGATTTATCCCAAACTAGAGGGAGCTTCTGCCTTTATTTCATAGCTAGAGAATATGGTATCTAAAGATGTCAATTTCCACCAGGAAGATTTTCCCACAGTAGTGTTCCTTGACCTTCTCTCCCTTGTATTATGTTCCTCAGAGATCTCCAGACTGAAACAAGCACATTCTGATGAGACAGATCATCTTAGAACTGTTAGAAAAGTCGCCACCCAGTGAAATTCTTGGAAATTTTAAACAACCAATTTTAGTATTCAGAATTTTATAAAGAATGTACATTGTAGCCAGAAATGATTTGCTAATGAATTATGAATTATCAGCATACATGTTTGCTGTAGTTGGCAACTGTGCAAGAGTTCATTTTAACAGAATAGCATGTTCTGAAATATTCTCACTCAATTACAACCAATATAAAATTATGGAATGTTAATTCCTACAAGAACTTGTGACATCATAAAATGTGGTTTTATAAGAGAAAAGTTATGCCAAGTGTGGTCGCATCTACCTATAATCCCAGCATTTTGGAAGGCTGAGGTGGGATGATTGCTTGAGACCGGGAGTTGGAGACCAGCCTGGACAACATAGTGAGAGCTCATCTCTACAAAAACACAAAGTTGCTAGCCTTCCCTTATTTTATTAAAATTAAATGTGCTATTTATCCAAATGTAATAGAAAAATGCAATCATAAAAGTAGCTTTAGGCCGGGCGCGGTGGCTCAAGCCTGTAATCCTAGCACTCTGGGAGGCCGAGGCGGGCGGATTGCTCGAGGTCAGGAGTTCGAAACCAGCCTGAGCAAGAGCAAGACCCCCGTCTCTACTATAAATAGAAAGAAATTAATTGGCCAACTAATATATATATATAAAATTAGCCGGGCGTGGTGGCGCATGCCTGTAGTCCCAGCTACTCGGGAGGCTGAGGCAGAAGGATTGCTTGAGCCTAGGAGTTTGAGGTTGCTGTGAGCTAGGCTGACGCCACGGCACTCACTCTAGCCTGTGCAACAAAGTGAGACTCTGTCTCAAAAAAAAAAAGTAGCTTTAAATGCAAACATTTTTGAGTAACACTGTATTCTAACTAAGTTTAAGGAAATACTGGTATGCCATTTATACATTTTCTCAGTGTTCACTACCTTTGGACTCCAATCACTGTAATATATCTGTATACTGGAAATTTGACCAGGGTATATGGCACTTCACAATAATGTCCCATATCCTAATATTCAGAAATGCCCACATATAATCTGATTATGCTGTTTTGTCAGCAAAGATCAAATGGAATGTTTGATAAGTGCTTTATGAACAGAGTTTAATCTAGCTAGCCATGGTGTTAATATAGAACACCATTATCTTTTCATGAGCATGAGTAATTATATCACATAATAATTTTTTCTTTCAAAATATTTCAACTTTTTGCTGAGTTTTTTCTCCCAAGTAACTATAAGGGTCCTACTAACATGCTTGTTTGAAAGCAGACTAAAAACATTTTAAAAATATATTTTGCAAAAAAAATCATATTTTGATTTTAATATTTATATCTGTAAACTGTTAAAATGCTCTCAAAAATGTTATCTAGGAAGGCACAATTTGATAGCATCAATTTTTTATTCATAACTTTTTCTAAGTAAGATCCCAAGAAACTGCCACCTTAATTTTTCCCTTTAAGTAATTTAAGTACTTCAAGATTCGATCTGATATACAAGTAAAACACTTTCATTCTCAAACTAAGAGTTAATAATACCTTGGATAGTGAACAGAATATGAAAATACAGACTACTTCATCAAAAGACAATTATTAGGTTCAGAGATTAAAGAATTTGAAACAAGGGCTTTCATGACTGGAGAAAATCAAAGTTCTTCTTGAGGTGGGTGGGCTTTTAATACCTGAGCTAGAAATTAAGTGCAGAAAATACGCATCAACATTAGTTATCCTGAACACCAAAAGAGCAACAGCAAAAGCATTATAAATAATGTATGGTGAAAACTGAGTTAGTAAAGATCAGTTGCCACTCTAGGCTAGACACTAATACAACTGCTTGCAATTTCTAATTTTAAAGAGTTTTGCTTCATGTTTAAGTTTTCTTTTACAATACATATATAAATTATATACACACAGTGTTGTCCTGTAACTCAAACTATAATGCTCATGTCTATAAAGCAGTTTTTTATTTTGGAGATGCTCAAAAGTTCCACTACTCCCCTTTTTCATGTTTATAAAAACCCAGCAATTTCAAAAATATTTCTAAGCATAGAAATGCTCAACGGTTCACCCAAAATTTCAAGCCCATATCTGTAGGTAGTTTCTCATAAAGTAATTATGTTGTGCTATCTTACTCTGACACTAGGTCAAAAATCCTGTTGATTTATGAACATTTTTCCTAGGCAAGAGTAACAACATAAAATGGGATCAAGTTGAATATGTTGCTACTCACTTTCTATACTAAATTGTGCTTGCAATCTAAAAATTAAAATGAACTGTAGTAAGAATGAGAATATAAATTATGTCCATTTGTACCATACACTAAAACTAAAATCCTTTATCAGAGAATGAAAAATACCTTGTTAGTTGAAAAATGAAGGATAAGAAGCAATACCAAGTGATATATTTTAATCTTTTGTTAAAGCTCTGAAATTGCAGCAAATTGCTAACCAAATTGAGGTAGAGGTAGACCCTAATGTTATTCCTTCCATGTGTCAGAACTTAGGTCTCTCACATTAACTTGCATTTTTTCCCCTAATTATATAAACATGATTCAATTTGGAATGTAATGTTATAAAAGAAAAATAAGATCAAATCGTACTTTAAAAATTCTTAATTACTAGCTAAAAAAACCACTTGTAAAAAAATGTACACAATAATTCAGTTTTCTTCTTGCAAGTCATAAATGTTTTTCCTCCAAGTGTAGGGGGAAGAAAAGCAAAGATAAACTATGATGCAAACATTATGAACAGTTTCATAATAAAGCATCTGGAGCGTAACTAGTAGGGTATGAACATTTTACCTTAGTGTCTAATTTCCCCTTTAAGCGTTACATAAGCTTTGATTCATATTAAATTTTCTGCTAAAGTAACTTCCTTTTCACACCTAAAACAACTTTCATTAAACACAAATCTATTTCCATTTTAAATCACATACAAGCGCTATGTGATCAGAGGGATGGGAAACACTAGGTAAGGCCTGGTGGGTGGTAACTTCTTCGTGACTGGGTAATGGAATCACCTGTTCAACCTCTAAAGCATTTAAGTCAATGAAAATGTAATCTAGACATCCATGAAAGCCACCAACATAATTTGTGTAAGCAGGTTCACCACAAGCACTTTTCAGTTTGAAGAAATGAGTAAGAGACATGTTGCATCTTTCCTCTTCCCCATTGGAAGACCAGTCTTCATGCTCCTCTGGAATGCTTCCATTGATGACAAAATGATACATTCCTGTTGATGGTGTACTATTAAAGTCCCCACAAAATATAACCGGTATGCCAGGATACAGATCACATGAGACATGTCTAATGTGAGCCAAGGCTACTGCCATTTGAATGAGACGAATGTACCCACCTATGAATATAAAAAACATTAATGTAAGTACTTTTTAAAGTTGTCTTTAAGTAAAAGAAGAAAAGAAAAAACCCAAACTGCAGTCTCTGGGTGACATTAAAGACACACAGTTGTGTAAAACATGTTTAACAATCTTAAGTCATGTTCAAGTCACTTGTGAAACCAAACTAAACCTACCTTTTGGATGCCAGTAGAGATGGGTATTAGCAACACATATCTTTTTAGAAGAGTCCTTTGTACACTGAAGAACTGAAACCTAAAAAAAAAATGAAAGTCCCAGGAGTTCAGTTGGTGCCCGCCAATTTCCTGAATGTTTTTATCTACAACTATTATGAACTAACATTTTATTCCATATTCTCCCCTTGACAAAGACTGAAATTTTGAAATTTGATTTATTATTTAAATTTTAGGATCTACATGAACAGGTTCAGTGTCACATGCTTTAATAACATGTCCAGCATATAAAGATATTATAAAAATAATATACTTTACATGACAAAATTAAGGTTAGAGACTGTTTTCAAGCAGGTTAGCACAGGCTTCGGAGTCAGGGAGACCTAGGTTTGAATGCTCATTTTACCATTTACAGCAGTGTGACCTGGAGAGAGACATTTTTCTAAACCAGTTTCATGTTGGTAAAGAGACAATAGGATGGGCATGGTGGCTCATGCCTACAATCCTAGCACTTTGGGAGGCCAAAGCAGGATTTCCTGAGGTCAGGAGTTTGAGACCAGCCTGGGGAAAATAGCCAGACCTGGTCTCTACAAAACACAGAAAAATTAGCTAGGCATGGTGGCACATGCCTGTAGTCCCAGTTACTGGGAATGCTGAGGCAGGACAATCACTTGAGCCCAGGAGTTTGAGGTTGCTGTGAGCTAAGATCAGCCACTGCACTCTAGCTTGGGAAATAGAACCAGACCCTGTCTCTTTAAAGAAAAAAAAAAAAAAGAGGAGTCTAGGCGTGGTGGCTTACACCTGTAATCCTAGCATTCTGGGAGGCCAAGGCTGGTGGATTGCTCAAGGTCAGGAGTTCAAAACCAGCCTGAGCAAGAGTGAGACCCTGTCTCTACTAAAAATAGAAAGAAATTAATTGGACAACTAATATATATAGAAAAAATTAGCCGGGCATGGTGGCGCATGCCTGTAGTCCCAGCAACTCGGGAGGCTAAGGCAGAAGGATTGCTTGAGCCCAGGAGTTTGAGGTTGCTGTCAGCTAGGCTGACACCATGGCACTCTAGCCCAGGCAACAGAGTGAGACTCTTGTCTAGAAAAAAAAAAAAAGGAATATCGGGATTACTATGAAGATTAAATGACCCAATAATAAATAAATACTAGCTGATACTGACGGAGCACTTCATAAAACACACCAGGCACTTAAATTTTAAGTACTTTAAAAATGTGTCAGAACGGTGCTTGGAACGTAGTAAAGAATATTAGCTAATACTACTATTTGTATATTTAGCATGTGTTCCTCTCGCTGGAGTATAAATACTAGGAAAGTCCCCGCTTGTCTTGTTCAGGGCAACCTGGGCACACCAGAGGTGTTCAAAAATATTTGCTGAATGAATGAAGATTAAACTTTTGTGCTGATGATACTAGCGCAAACACCTTTCAACAAAATCTGGATAGCTTTATCTCATTATCTCCATCTTCCGTCCACCCCCTCTTCCAGGCCCATAAAAATGGGTCAGCATGTGAAAAGACAGGGTAGGGTAGGGTAGCTACTTTACCTGAAGTACAGAAGATCTCTGGAACACCCTCACCTGCGCCCATGGGTACAAAACTAGTTTCTCCAGCAGTTCTTTGTGAAGGGGGTCGGACTTCAGGGCCTCGTGGAAAGAAATGTCATGCTGGCTAAGGAGGCTGAACTTAGACTTTCGGTAGAAAGTAGCCAGACCTTCGTGCTGCTTGATTCGAAACACGCCCTCTAGCCCAAAGGCCTCAAGGGCGGGTGCCAAGCTGTCAGAAAACACATCCCGGTCAACTTCCTGCAAACAGATGACGTCAGCATTGTAGCCAGTGAGTTCCTTCTGGATAAGGTTCTGGCGGTAGTCGAGCCCCAAGGCGTAAGGGGCACAGTATGGGTACAAGACCGTCCTTGAGAACTCAGTCTGAGCGTACGTGTCTGCCAGGATGTTGTAAGAGACAGTGCGGATGAGAGCGTCCTCTGTCACTTTCTTAGTGTAGAGATGCCGGTGGTCAAAAGTGCAGGTGCCAGGCCCGGCCTCCACCGGACACACACTTACCCTCTCCCGGCTCGGCCCGAAGCGCTGTCCATTGCCTGGGGTGCAATGAAGCAAGAGACGCAGTCCGATGTCGGCATTGGACGGGATGTAGACGCGCTCGTCCACACCTGTCTCCATCCAAGTCGAAGAGGGCAAGGAAGGAGATAACGACGAGGGGCCACCGACCTCAGCCTCCGCCGCTCCTGGCTTGGCTTCCTTGTACCAGCGGAAGAGGGAGCAGGCGGGATCCCCAAATTCTAAGCTGAGCTTGGGGAACACAGGAAAGCCCGCCATGATGTAGCGCGGCAACTGCAGCTCGGTGAAGGCGGGCGGGTTGCGCTCCACTTTGTACTTGACATCCCCTATCTGCAGCACCGCGCCGTCCTGCCAGGCGTCCACATTGAGCACGTCCTCAGCCACTGCCTCCTCCCGGTAGTACAGCTTCACCACGGGTTCACAGGCTGCGGCCGACTCGGGCCCGGGCCCAGCACAGGCCGCGCCGCCACTGGAGTTCTGCCGGTTTTTCCTGCTCTTCTTGGCGGTGGCCGCCTTAGCGTGGCCCTTGATGGCGTTCGTGGCAATCCGGCTGAGGGCCCTACCCACCGGCTCGCTCTGGTCGCGCTGCATGTTCTTGTGGCTGCCGTCGGCTAGCGCGAATGACAGGCTTAGCTTGGGCTCCGAGGGCACACAGCGCACTATAGCGCGCTCCATCGCGCCTGCCGCCGTCTCCGTCGCCGCTGCGGCCCGGCTGCGCCGCTCCACCGCTATCCGGACTCCGCGAAGCGCTGCGCGGGCACCGAGGAGCCTCCACATGAAACCGACGGCCCAGCGGGTGACGAGACCAGAGGCCGCCGGCGTTGGGACTCATTTATACTCAGCGAGTTCCGTCCAGAAAAGAGAGGGCGTGCGGTGCTTCCGCCGCGCACTTTCGCCACGCCCACTTAACTGCTTTTTCGGTAGCCATTCTGTCTCTAATGCCTCGCGGATTAATTTTTATCTTCAAACTAGGTCATAATGAGGGAGAAGTGAAGAAAATATAAAGGCGCTAGAGGGAAACACTAGACTCCATGGTTTTGTCGAAAGTGCCGGGTGGGGCGGGGAGGGAAGGCGCACCAAAACGGAAGTGGCTGGGGCGGTGTCACGTGTTCCGCCGCGTTGGCGAAGGCGGGCGCCTGCCCTGAGGCGCTTTCTCTAGCCCGGGGGTTAGACTGCGAGAGTGTGAGGACCGCCACCCGGACTGCCAGCTTAACTCTGGGCGTGGAAGGCGATTTCTCATTTCCTTGCTACAGCATTGCCGACCCTGCTCGCCCTTTTTCGAGGTGTGGTGGGTTAGGGTTCGCGTCAGGCTGGGCCAGCGCCTGTTCGCCAAGCCGAGCCTTTGGTAGTTAATAACGAATATGCAGTAACTTCCATTCAGTGAGAGCCGACTATGCTAAAAACGCTATGCATACTCTTTTATTTAAGCCTCACAGTTACTCTGAGGCAGGTCCCTTTCTCCGCACTTGCAGATGTGAGATCCAGAGAGATTAGGCTGTTTAAGGTCACATAGCTAGTAAATTGGCAGAAACAAATAGTACTGACAAGCTACTGAAAGCTTTTCATTTTTAATTATTAAAGAGATAGGGAGATCCTAATTAGAGTTGTAAGTAAAAATTAAGTAAGTAAAAATTCTATTTCTTTTAAATACCTTGAAGTGTTAGATACCGACCTTCCACAGCCCCACCGGACAGAAAAGCAGAGACATCGAGGATGCAATCTCACAAGAGGAGGTTTATTTTCTGGCTAGCCAGGGTCCAAGCCCCAGAGCGCCAACACAGTGGCCACTCTCGCAGGCAAGGACCCCGACCGGAACAACGGCATGCCTTTTATCCCCACGGTGCACAAGCTGCGCACAAGCCGACTACGCATGGATCATGCGTTGACCTTTAAAATGATTGGTTGCCCACTATTGCCTTTTGAAATAATTGGCGGGTTGGTTGCCCTCTATTGCCTGATGAGCCAGTCGCCTGTGCTTCAGTGACCTCATCCCATAATTCCCCCTACAGCGGTGTAGCAAGCAAGCAATGACCAGAAGCAAAAGTTTGCGGTTAGCTCATTGCCCCACCCAAGTAAATTCCCGACAATTGGAAAAATTCTTCTGCCCTTCCTCTGCCCTACATTCCCCCTTCTCTAGGTAGCAGACGAGCACTGTTGCTCGTCCTCAAGGTCTCTTAGGAGCTCTAGTTTTATAGCACTTGACTGATATTGCTTTGAAGTGCTTTATAGCACTTGACTGATATTGACTGATATAGCTGCTGATATTGTTGCAATACTAGTAGCTGGACAGTGTTTATCCGTTCTTTCACAAAAGCTACTAGTCTATTAATTACACATGGCGCGAAAGTAAGGACTAAGATTAGCATAATGAGTGGGCCTAGTAGGGTGGATAGTAGCCAGGGGGAACTGTTAAACCAAGACTCAAACTAACCTGCTTGCTGTTTATATTCCCGTTTGTGGCGGGCAAGCCCTTCCCTGACCTTAGCTATAGATTCTCTAACAACTCCTGTATGGTCTGCATAGAAACAACATTCTTTGAGGGCAGCACACAGTCCTCCTTGCTGGAGGAACACTAGATCTAATCCCCTCCGGTTCTGGAGCACTACCTCGGATAGGGAGGTTAGTGACTTTTCTAGGTGTGAGATTGAATCTTCTATCCTTGCAATATCTTCATCAACAGCTGCCCTCAGAGTATTAAACCCTCTTTACTGCATTGCCAGAGAAGAGATACTAGTTTCTGCTCTTATTGCCCCTAAGCCGAAAAGAGTAGCCAGGGTTATGGCTGTGAAGGGCTCTCTTTTTCTTTCAAAAATTAGGTTGGTGACTCTTCGCCCTACTATGCCCTCATATGTTGTCTCCTCAGTGTGGTATATTATTTTTGGGAACACTAACACCAATATACAGTAATCTTTAGACCCATGTAAGGTTATGGGGTTGGTGGGGGTTCGGGGCGGTAAGTATAGCTGTAGGTCTCCATCCCAAAAACATTAGACCAAAAACACAACATCCCAAAACACAACAACCAACCCCCACCACGACCCATCCATGTTGTCACCCAGTTCAATCTTTAGATGCCACAACCCTAGTCCAAGTCTGGGTCGGCAGTCCTGGGCTGTCGCCGCCACGCAGGTCAGTCTGGTCTTCAGAGGATTCTTCGGGTCTGCAGTTGCTTTCCACTGGTCCTGGCACCGCTCCTGGTCTTTTTTATTA